GAAAGAAAGTGCTACACGCTGGGATGTCAGGGCAAGCAGAAGGAAAAGGGACTGGAAAAAGAGAAGGGAATCTCTGTTGATGGCAAAGTATTTTCTCCCAGGTGTTTTCTCTTGGGGCAGTCTGTTGGCTGTTCACTGGTGCTGGGAATGCCACTACTTCCCATCGCTGCCTTCTGAACCTGTCACTATTATAGTGATAGCTTCCTAACTTCTCTCCCTTTGCTGCTTTTTATTCCCCTGCAAAGACATTGCCACTCTGCAAGGGACAGATGGATGAGGGGAAGGGACAGTGGGAAGGAGTGTGATGGATTAGTTTCTGGGCATAGCAATTATTAGAATTTTGTTCTATGGGAAATATGAAATGAAGCAGGGTACTAAATATGGACAGAGTGTCCTCATATCAGCTTCATCCAAACATGTAATTTTTCTTTCAAAGGAACACCACAAATCAATGTGGTGCAATCATGGCTTCCCGCAGCCTCTACCTTCTGGGCTTAAACAATTCTCTCACTTCAGCCTCCTGAGAAGCTGGAACCACAGGTGTGTGCTATCGCACCTGGCTAATTTTTAAATTGTTTTGTAGACACAGGGTCTCACTGTGTTGCCCAGGTTAGAGTTTAGTGGAGCCATCTTGGCTCACTGCAGCCTTGACCTGTTTGTGCTCAAGTGATCCTCCCACCTCAGCCTCCTATGGAGCTGGGACCTCAGGCATGTGCCACCACACCCAGCTAATTTTTTGATATTTTGTGGAGAAAGGGTTTTGCCATGTTGCTCCAGGCTGGTCTCGGAACTCCTGGGCTCAAGTGATCCTCCCACCTCAGCTGCTTGAAGTGCTGGGATTACAGGCCTGAGCCACCATGCCCATCCCCAATTCTCAAATTTTTAGAAATTTTACATCCTAGTTACTAAACCATTGGTAGATTTAAATTGGCTGTGAGGGAGGTGAACATTTAATTTAAACTGGCAAATGCTGTATGTCAGGATTCCTCCTCCAGAGTCTGCTATTAAACATTTATCAGCCACCATTATATATATGCTAGATACACTACAGTTATTAAGAATTATATATGTACATGTATACATACTATTGATGCAGTGTAATTATTAAAAATCAAAAAATGAAATACAGCTTTCAGGGCATTTCAGGCAAATTCATATTTATTCCAATGTCAAACACTGTTGTTACATCTGCTGTAAGATGATCAAGAGTAGTATGAAGTAGCCAGGCGCGGTGGCTCACGCCTGTAATCCCAGCACTTTGGGAGGCCGAGGCGGGTGGATCACGAGGTCAAGAGATCGAGACCATCCTGGTCAACATGGTGAAACCCCGTCTCTACTAAAAATACAAAACATTAGCTGAGCATGGTGGCGCGTGCCTGTCATCTCAGCTACTCAGGAGGTTGAGGCAGGAGAATTGCCTGAACCCAGGAGGCGGAGGTTGCGGTGAGCCGAGATCGCGCCATTGCACTCCAGCCTTGGTAACAAGAGTGAAGTTCTGTCTCAAAAAATAAATAAATAAATAAATAAGTAGTATGAAGTAGAAGGATTCCTCTCCATGCACCAAAGAAAACAAACAAGGCAAACTCCAAGTTAGTGAATTAGTTACCACTGTTAAAATGCATTTGATTTTGTCCTTTTCCTTTTCACAAGGACAACAGTTGAATACTCTTTTATGTGATGCCTGATATTTTTCTTTTTCTTTTTTTTTTTTTGAGATGGAGTCTTTGAGACAGGGTCTTGCTCTGTCACCCAGGAGTACTGTGGTGTGATCTTGGCTCACTGCAACCTCCGCCTCCCAGGTTCAAGTGATTCGTTTTTTTTTTTTTTTTGTTTTTTTTTTAAGAGACGGGGTTTCACCATGTGGGCTAGGCTGGTCGTGAACTCCTGACCTGGTGATCTGCCCGCCTTGGCCTCCCAAAGTGCTGGGATTACAGGCGAGAGCTCCCGTGCCTGGCTGGTTCAAGTGATTCTTTTGTCTCAGCCTCCCAAATAGCTGGGATTACAGGCATGTGCCACCATGTCCGACTAGTATTTTAGTAGGGATGGGATTTCACCATGTTGGCCAGGATAGTCTCGAACTCCTGACCTCAGGTGATCTGCCCGCCTTAGCCTCCCAAAGTGCTGGGATTACAGGCGTAAGCCATCATGCCTGGCCCCAATGCTGATATTTTTCTGTTATAGTCCTTAGAGCAGGCATCCTGTAGCACTCTGTGTCCTAGACTTTTTGATGCAGAAACAAGACTGAAGGAAGATTGTCCAATGAAGGAAAGATTCAACTTTTCCTCAGTGTGTGTTTGTCCGGCGGTATACGGCTAGCAGCACATCAGCAGATGACTCCACTCCCTTTCTCAGGACATATAGCCTCATTGTTACGGAACCCCGAAGGAACATATGAATGTCCTCTCTTTCAAGGCAATACGTATGACAGGCTTTCAGATCCCCATGTGCCTTCTCTGCTTACCTAAAGGGCAAGGTGAGAAAAATCCAGCACTGACATAGAATCTGTAGGTTGAATAAGGCAACCAAGATTAGAGAGATGTAAGTGAAGAAACCCACTTTGTCTGGCTTCGGAGAGAACTAGTGACTTAAGGGAGGATGTTCATCTGCATCATGTTCACTGGGACAGTCCTGCGTGTTCCCAGCGCAGCTCCATTATCATCCGTCTAGCAGTGGGGAGTCTCTGCTGCCTCTGGCATATGTAGTTCTGCTCATGCCCCTAACGGGAACACATAAAGCACCCCTGTAGTACCACAGTGTGGGGATAGGGTAGGAGTACTCTGGCAGCAACCCTTGGAGGGGCCACCTGAACATTCTGAAGTTTTCTTAGATGCTCAGAATTCAAATTGGTAATAGGCTCTAGGAGCAAAATTGCAAAGGACAGATAGACTTGTTGGGTGACTTCTGTTTTCTTCTCCAACAATCCAGGTTAGTTCTGATTTCCTCCCTGGTCACTCAAAACACCTTGGTAAGCATGTGCCTTGACTTTCAGAGTGGCAAAGGGCTTTTTATTCCTTTTGACCCCTGTTCAATTTACAGGTGAGGAAACTGAAATAAGGTAGTTAAGTGACTTGCCTAAAATCGTGCAGCTGCCAACAGGTAGGAGCAGGCTTGCTGACATACTCATCTGGCATTCTTGAGGCTGTCCCTACAAATCTTCTTGACCTCTGGTAGAAACTCCACCTCTACCTCCACCAAGTATCATTCTAAGTACATTCATAGCTGCGTGGCTGGATAAGTACTTTGAAGCAGAATATGCTTCATAAAATATTTTTGGTTTATCTAAGAACTTGGGTCCAAATACATATACAGAACTATATACTGAGGTAGCATTACTGAATTTACCATGAAAAACATCACTTTCATCCATTAGGTCAGAATTTGGGAGTCACGTCACAGACTACTTAAATTGGGTTTTTTTCTTTCTTTCTTTCTTTTTTTTTTTTTTTTTTTGAGATGTAGTCTTGCTCTGTTGCCTAGGTTGGAGTGCAATTGCACAATCTCGGCTCACTGCAACCGCTGCCTCCTTCCTGCGTTCAAGCCATTCTCCTGCCTCAGCCTCCCCAGTAGATGGGATTACAGATGCTCACCACCATTCCTGGATGATTTTTGTATTTTTAGTAGAGACAAGGTTTCATCATGTTGGCCAGCCTGGTCTTGAACTCCTGACTTCAGGTGATCCACCCACCTTGGCCTCCCAAAGTGCTGGGATTACAGACATGAACCACTGAGCCCTGCCCTTTTTCTTCTTAGACAAATTTATATCACTGTTTTTACATTTTTGGCCATCTTTCTATTTAACTCTTTTATGCAATGAATATATATTTCATGAGGCAGTAATTAATCCTCACCAACTTGGCAGGTTGCTTTGTTAGTCAGTTATAAGGCTAACAAAATATAAAGGTCATGACTCTGGGAGAAAAAGTGTCCTGTGACTCTACTAAGGTTCAGCTACTGCTGATCTACACTTTAGGACTTGTACGATCATTCCTTTTTACATTAGAGTTTAGGCTGTTTTGGAGTCGATTTTTACTATTTCAGCCATCAGAATGATGCGGCATTGAATTCTTTCCAAGTGGCTAATCCAGTATGCATATGTTAGCAATCCAAATCACCCTATAAGGAATCAAGCTAAATGAGCTTATACTCATGTCCTTTTTTCTACACTTGGGATTTTCACTCAAAAATAAAGACTGTCTCACCTGGTAATATTATAATTACAGAATTTGAGTTGCTTCTAAAAAATAATGAGAGAAATACTGAAAATGATGAAGACTTTTTCAAATGTTATAATACTGCCATTTATAAATGATTATTTGGCCAGTTATAATAAAACACTAGGAACCGGTACTTAAAAAGAAAAAACAAGCAAAATCCTGTACACAAAAAAAGCAAACATATGTAAGGACTTGAATCCATGTGTATATATTTTACATTTTTCAACATTTGTGTTTCATTGCATTAACATAACCATTTACAGTTAGTTATTTCAGAAATCTCAGTCATATACAGTGCTCTTGAATCCAAACAGTGGTCTATAGTGTGTTGGCATTTTCATCAAGCAAAGTCCTAAAATGTCAAGTTGAACAATAAGATATTGAGGCACATTGGTCACTGTGTATTCTGAATTGTTTTTTTGTTTCTGTTTTTTTTTTTTTTTTTGAGATGGAGTCTTGCTCTGTTCCCCAGGCTGGAGTACAGTGGTGTGATACCGGCTCACTGCAACCTCCACCTCCTGGGTTCAAGCGATTCTCCTGCCTCAGCATCCCCAGTAGCTGGGATTACAGGTGCCTGCCACCACGCCCAACTAACTTTTGTATTCTTAGTAGAGATGAGGTTTTACCATGTTGGCCAGAATGGTGTCGAACTCTTGACCTCATGACCTGCCCGCCTTGGCCTCCCAAAGTGCTAGGATTACAGGCATGAGTCACTGTGCCCGGCCTTCTGAATTCTTTAGTATGATCAGAGGACATATTTAATATATTTCATGTTGATTCTTGGCCACTCTTGATTTTTGCTTTGGGTAACATCTTTATCCTGGGAACATTCCTTACCACTTAATAGCAAGATAACATTAAAAAAAATCATCCTTCATTGCCACATTTAAGGAAGCAGAGGTTGTAGCAAGCTGAGATTGCACCACTGCACGCCAGCCTGGGTGACAGAGCAAGATACTGCCTCCAAAAAAACAGTGTTTAAAATGAGACCAAACACTCATGGAGACATTTCTCTGTTCTATTAGAAATGCAATGGCATCCTCATAGATCCTCTTTCTTTTTTATGATCAGTTGTCTAACCAGAGCTGCTATGTCAGGCCTGATGACTTCAATGGGTTCCTCTGGCCTCCAGAACTTCACAACTTGACCCTCAGGGTTGACCAGATACTTCCAAAAATTCCACCTTGGTTCCTTCTTTGAAGAATCTAAAATATCCAAAACATATGTTCATGAGCATAATTTATTCTTTGTCAAGGTTTTTACTTCTATTAGTATCTGCACAAATGACAACTTTAGTATCAAGTTCTAGGACTGTCATAATATCAACAACAAAACACCCAAACAGAGTGAAACTCAAGGTTAGAGTAACCAGATTTTAATATACTTGATGACTTCACCTATGAGTCTACTCACCTAGTATCTGATCTAGTATCATGAAATGAAGCAAAGTTGTAATCCCAAGTTGCTGGGATTATAGGTGTGTGCCGCCACATCAGGCAAATTTTTGTATTTTTAGTAGAGATGGAGTTTTGGCCTCCCAAAGTGAATAATCATCATATTTTGAAAAGCAATAAAAGCAATAATTTTCTTTTTTAGGAGGCAGAGGTTGTAGTGAGCTAAGATCGTACCACCACACTCTAGCCTGGGTGACAGAGTCTTGCTGTGTTGCCCAGGCTGGTCTTGAACTCCTGGGCACGCAAGTGATCCTCCTGCCTTGGCCTCCCAAAGTGCTAGGATTACAGGCATGAGCCACTATACCCAGTCATGATATCCTTTTAATAAATCTTAATTTATGCAAGAAATGTAGATATTTTTTCTATTTATACCCCTCAAGACTTATGTTCATATTATTGACTAACATGAGAAAAAATATAGCAATTATAACTACAATTTATGAAGTGCTTACTATGTGTCTGGTAATGTATGCTCCATGCTTCACATTTATCCTCTCATTTAATCTTACAGGGACCCTGTGAGGTGGGTATTACTATCATCTCCATTTTGCAGGTGAGATATAAATGGAGGCCTAGACACATGGTCACGTGGCTAATGAGTGGTAGAGCCAGGAGTGATATCTAGGCCTTTTTACTCCAGAGCTCATGCTCTTAACCTTTGGACACTATGATCCTCCCTATCTAAGTTGAATGAAAACTTAAATCATTGTAATCTTTTTGATTACACAGGCTAAGAGGGGCTTCAGAAGGTTTTTAGCCACGTATCTGGCTGCTATAACTGAGGAATCATTAGTTCAATGGCATGTGCTTGGGCTTTTCTTTCCTCAGTGTACCCTCACAATAAAAGGAATAAAGACCTCACTGTGGTTGCCATTTATGATGTTAGGCATTATATCAACTTTCCCTAGAAATGAAATATAATGTTTCTAGAAGATTCTGACCTCACACTTATGTGAAATATTATGGTTCACTATTTGGTTTGTTGGATTAGAAGCTTGATTGCCTGACTCTCAGTTCATAGTTTTATTAAAAGTCAATTTATCTATAGTGAAAATAGGATTGAAGATGTCATCAGAATAAGTTAGATGAGAGAACATTATCGAATGTTCTTTATTTATTAGTATTTTTGAGATGGAGGCTTGCTCTGTTGCCCAGGCTGGAGTGCATTGGCGTGATCTCGGCTCACTGCAACCTCCACCTCCCAGGTTCAAGCAATTCTCTTGCCTCAGCCTCTCAAGTAGCTGGGATTACAGGCACCTGCCACCATGGCTGGCTAATTTTTGTATTATTCATAGATATGGGGTTTCACCATGTTGGCCAGGCTGGTCTCAAACTCCTGACCTCAAGTGATCTGCCCACCTTGGCCTCCCAAAGTGCTGGGATTACAGGCGTGAGTCACCGCACCTGGTCTTTTTCTTTTTTCTTTTTTTTTCTTGACTAATGTCCTTTAGAACAATGTCTGGTACAGAGCAAGCAGTGTATAAGTACTTTATTTTTACTATTAACACACTTAATTCCGAGCAATCTTAGAAAGTCAGTACTATTGATAGCCTTATTTTACAAATGAGAAACGCACATAGAAGTTAAGAAGCCACACAACAAAAATAACAGAGCAGGGGTTTGAACCCAGGTAGCCTGAGGCCAAGGTCTATGCTGTCACTATGCCTCGTGACCTTTGTGCTAACTGACCTTGGCAAGTCTTTAAACAGATTTCTGTAGCTAGCTTAATTGGAGAGATAGCCTAACACTACTGCCCTCTGAAAAAATCAAGTTATATGGTTTTAGATTTTTGCAAAAACCTGGTAAGCTGACATATTTATCCTTGAGAATATTGTTTCAGATAAGAAATGCAAGATAAAATTAGCCACAAACATACGTTAACTAATAATGCTCAGCAGTATTCATGAGAGCTGTGTGGCTTTAATGATGGGTAGGGAAATTTCCCCAGATGCTAGTGACATGAGAGGAGAATTAAGATATTTTGTGAAAATTGCCATGGGCACACTTTAAGTAAATTCTTCAGGAAGATGATCGTAAGGAGTAAAATACATTGGAATAGAATTTGTTTGCCATCTAAGCAGCTAAAACATTTATTTCAGGGGAGCATAACTTCTAGAAGTTACAAAGGATGAGATTTTGGCTCTTTGATAGTTTTATGAAGCTTTCCCAATACAATGTTTCAAATGAAATAGGAAAGTATAGTCCTGGTATAATTGATTAAAAATGAAAAGCAATTTAAAACATCATACTGGTGAGGCAAGGCAGATATTTACCAACAAGAAATCTAAATGCAGGTTCTCCTTCAGATCCTAGAATCTTAATCTTGTGGAAGATGGGGAATGTTACTCCGTAGTTTTTTCTTGCAAAAGATTCTACTTCCTTGCTCGGGCGGGGCTCCGATTCTCCAAACTGATTGCACGGGAAAGCCAACACGCTGAAGTGGGATGGTCCAAACTCTTTGTGCAGTTCCTTCAGTGCTAAGTAATTTCTGTCTGTGAGTTGGCAGTCACTAGCCACGTTTACAACTAGTGAAACCTCCCGGAAAAAGAAAAAAATCCAACCGGAAAGTGAAGCAAAAGATTTCAAAAAATTCTGCAAGTAGTTAAAATCCTAAACAATTTTGGGGAAATATAACCTCTGATTGATATTTTTTTCATATTTTTGGACATACACAGTTTTATTGAAAACTGTAACCTGGATGCCTGAGTTAAGGCCCTGAATTAGTACTGCCATTAAAAAAGCATTAGGTACTCATGAAAGTTTATTTTTAAATAAAAGATAAAACTGTGATTCTTGATAAGTACTTTTTAAAGTTATTAGATTATAGAACCAATACTTTTATTTAAAAAATGTCATGATGTTCACGTTACTAACTATAAGCATTTTCCAAACAAGTTTAAGTATCAATACAGCACAACATTATAGCATTTTAAAGAAAATGAGATAATTGGAATCTATTATTTAGCAGTAAACTATCAGAATTCGAATAACTAAAGTGATGTTCTGATACTATTACTCTGAAGACTAAATTCCAACTTATGACCATATAACAGCAAAAAATGGATTTTATTAAGAGGAATAAACAGAGACAAGGAAAAACAATAAAAATAAAAATCAGATGGTGCAACTTACTTTGCCTTTATACTTTTCCAGAGAAACAGGTCTTCCTTTTGCATCCTTCACTTCAAAGGCATAAAAGCTGTTGATTTTAGGTTTGAGGAATTTTAGTTGTAGAAGAAATAGTGTTACTGTGCATAGAACCATAGACAGCAAAACTGCAAATACCTTTGCTCTGGGCCCGGAACATTTTAGCGGGTAAGCTGCAAGAGGCTCCATGTTGGAGGATTCTAGAGGGAAGTCTCAGCAGCCTGGAATTCAAGGAGGAGCTGAAACTTGAAACCGGCTTAGTTTAACAGAAAACCAGGAAGCGCAGACTGACTGCTTTCACTGCTAAGGAACAGAAAGACCCCTTCTCAGAGGGGGAATTAAGTGAAACTCCCAAACGAAGCAAAGAGCTCTACAGAATTTCAAAATATTTGTAGTGTAATTATAATTTTTGTTAGAAAAATCAGGACATTTTTGGTAGGTCTTTGACACTCTCCCTACAAAGAAAATATTTCTCCAGAAGATGGTGCTCTTGTAACTTGAAAGCTATGTAGGGCTCATCCCCATGTTAAGCATCCTGTGTATTTATTGAGCAACTGTTTGGATGCAGCGGATGGAGTACAATTCCCAGGAATAGTTTAGAATGTAGATGAAATGTGACCTACTCATATGATGTACAGCCTGAAGGACGTTAGTATTACATGTATGGATTAAACATGCTATATGAGTTCAGGAAATTTGTAGTGGAAAGAAATATCCGAAAAGACTATTTGCCCTGACTTCATCTAGCTAAGGCAATCAAATACCAAGTGAATAGAGTTAAAATAAATGTATTAAAAATTGTAAAGCAGTTTTTTCTCTATCATAAAGCAAACTATAATCCAGTGTTTTTCAAATTTCTGATCATGACCCCCAGTCAGCAGTGCACTTTACAACATAACTGAGTACAAACACACACAACTGAGAAACAATACTTGTCCTTGGAACTGTGATGCACCCACACCTGTTGCATTTTTAAACAACGCAGTTATGACCTATCAAAATCATTCACCAACCTGCTGCAGCCTGTAGATGGAAAAATATTGAGGCTGGGCATGATGGCTCACGCCTGTAATCTTAGCTGTTTGGGAGGCCTAGTTAGCAGGATCACTTGAGCCCAGGAGTTCAAGACCAACTTGGGCAAGAAAGTGAGACCCTTGTCTCTCAAAAAAATTTTTAAAATTAGCTGGTTGTAGTGGCACACGCTTGTGGTCCTAGTTATACAGGCGGCTAAGGTGCGAGGATCACTTGATCCCAGGAGTTTGAGGCTGCAGTGAGTCATATTTGCAGCACTGCACTGCAGCCTGGGTGACAGAGTGAGACTGTCTTAAAAAAAAAAGAAAAGGAAAAAAAAAGAAAAAATTGAACTCCATAATAAAGTAGTAATTTAACAGTTAAATAAAGCAATTCTACCAAAAAAAAAACCCCGAAAACAAACAAACCCCCAAAATCCACCTCTACATGGGTACATCATCTAATTGCTTTTTTTTTTTTTTTTTTTTTTAGACTATTGTAGTTTTCTGTTTCTTCTTACATTGATTGATTGATTGATTGATTTTTTTAGGCGGAGTCTTGTTTTATCACCCAGGCTGGAGTGCAGTGGCACAAACTCAGCTCACTGCAACCTCTGCCTCCCTGGTTCAGGCGATTCTTCTGTCTCAGCCTCCTGAGTAGCTGGGATTACAGGCGCATGCCTGGCTAATTTCATGTTTTTAATAGAGACAGGGTTTCATCATGTTGGTCAGGCTGGTCTCAAACTCCTGACCTCAGGTGATCTGCCTGCCTTGGCCTCCCAAAGGGCTGGGATTACAGGTGTGAACCACTGTACCCAGCCTAACTGTTTTGTTTTTTGTCTTTATTTTCCCCCATTGGCTGTTGCCTGATATAGGGGGCCTAACTTTGCTGTTGCTAACGGTCATGAATTTTAGGCGTAGGTATAGGGAGGCAATTGAGGGCTGCATATCCTAAAAGCCATTCACTTTAAATTCTGCTCTGTGTAAGACAGCAAGTTCTGGGTGAAGGTGCATTGTTTCCCTTGATCACGATGTGTTTCCAGAAAGTGCAGGGAATGAGCTGAGCTGCTTGTGGAGTGCCCTTCCCATCACTGTTAGCTTGTGGAGCTTTAGAGGGGTGCTCAGGGTGCTGCCTGCTCTTCTGGTGCCCGCTCTGTGGCATGTGTGTTTTTGGGTGGCTGAGCAAAGCCCGTAGCCTACTGTGTCAAACCTGTGAGAGAAACCACTTGATTGCTACTCTCATGGCCCAGTAAGAATGGAAACAATAGAAAAAGGAATGATTATACAGAAAGTATTCCCTTTTAAGCATCATTCCTAGTAAAGAACAAAAATGTACATCAAACATGTTGTATCACTTACTGATAATTTTACTTTGGTGTTCTCTGGCTGAATTGTTTAAAAAGCCGAACTCCTTGTGTTTATATGACATGAACACTGCTATGTTACTGAAGCTCTCTGGCCTTGCTCTCTAAGTGGGATCCAGGACCTTCGACATGACTATGGCCTAGGCATTTGTTAGAAACACACCATCTCCAGCCCCACCCCAGACCTCCTGAGTCAGAATCTGTATTTTTACAAGATCCTCTCATGACACACACGCACGTTTCAGTATGAGAACCTTTAGACCTCAACCTATTTTTGGTTTCAGAGCAACAAGAATCTTTGGTTTCTCTTTGTTTTCCGTAGTGGATGTGTTCTATGTCTCTGTGAAAACACTAGATATTTTAACTCCTCAGGCTGTATAAGCAAATAGCTCAGGAACATGCATTCTAAAAGTTAATTCATAGAATACCTGCTATTATTTGAGTAAACCCAACCCATTATAACCGTGTTTTGAGGTGGAAAGACAGAGTGGTTATCTCTGGCAGGGATGCTGACTGACCATTGCTTAGGCAGGGCCCAGTGGGTGATATTATTTTGATAAAATCATGGTGATAGTTTCTAGTCCGTTGTTTTGTAAGTACAAAAACTCTTATCAAATGATCCATAGATGAATGTATTTGAAAAGGCCAACATTATGCTGTTACAAACTTGCATGTGATTGCTGAATAAGCCAGTTTTTACCACCAGAGACAATTTATGCAGCCCTGATGTGGAGGTTGGTTTGACCACAGAATTCCATATCATATGAATACAACTTTGAAAACTGACGTGTATGTCTCTTGTCAAGGATGAAATCAGAGCCAGTTTTGTTAATGTTCCTAAGGCTTAAGAGCTTCAAATAATGAAGGTATGATATATAAATTTTCATACCAGCCCATTAACCAAACATTCAGACAGCACTTTGGAGAACTTGTGCACTGGACAGCATTGATGAACACAGATTTTGGCCCTGGCACGCCCCCTGGCATGTCTCTTCCTTGTTTTGGCAGTCTTTCTCTGCACACACTTTGATGTCATCATCTCTCAGCCTTCTGGAGATCTGCCATCATCGTTTCCATGTTCTGTCTATGCTAACTCTATTCTCAGACTACAGATATATCAAAATGGCACATTTCTCTGTGTAAGTGGTAGAGTGTTAGAAAAACCACCAGCACTCTTTCAGTAGATGAAGGAAGGCTTCCTATAGGAGGGGAAGAGATTGATGAGTTCTTGGTAAAGGCAGGAGGAAGTTACTAGGTCAAGAATGGGATAAAGCAGTTGACTCAGTTATCAACCAACTCAGGCACTGGAAAGGATATGAAGAAGGTACAAGGGAAGGAGAGAGTCTCACACAAATGTAAAATCAACTTTGGAAATATGAGAACACACATGAGACGGGGAAGGATTATAAGGCAGCAAATAACCGACTGCTATATAAATGACTTACATGTTTAGAGAGCTTTATACTGCACACACTCTTTTTAGTATACACATTATTTTCTTCACAATAATTCTTTGAAATGGAAGGAGTTAACTCAGCCAAGATCACAGAACTAGTGAATGGAACAATGAAGAATAGAGTTTTGAACTTTCAAGTTCATAACCAAAATTATTTCAACTTCATGAAACTGTTTCTGTGTAATAGGTAAATAAATTTATGTAGAAGAAAACATGGTAGGTGAGATGGCTGTAGCACTCTGGTGGACTGGTAATATGATTTGTCTCCGTGTCCCCTCCCAAATCTCACCGTGAATTGTAATAATCCCCACGTGTGAAGGGTGGGGCCAGGTGGAGATAACTAAATCATGGGGGCGGTTTCCCCTATACTGTTCTTGTAGTAGTGAATAAGTCTCATGAGATCTGATGGTTTTGTAAATGAGAGTTCTCCTGCACAAGCTTTTGCCTGCTGCCATATAAGACATGACTTTGCTCCCCATTCACCTTCCACCATGACTGTGAGAACTCCCTAGCCATGTGGAACTATGAGTCCATTAAACTGCTTTCCTTTATAAATTACCCAGTCTCAGGTATGCTTTTATTAGCAGTGTAAGAACAGACTAATTCAAGGGGTTTCATTCATCATGAGACATTTTATTTTATAAGAAACCACCATATAAGTGCCTAGAAAGGAGAGGGCATGGAGAACACCAACAAAAAGCTTGTCCGTGTGTACTGGAAGAGGCCACAGGAGGTCTGCAGAGTAGCAGATGATGGATGAAGAATCTTAGTGAAGGTAGCCTTGGCAAGCATGATGGAAGGAAGTGGGTGGGTGCTAAAGATGCTCTGTAGACCCTGCAGGCAGCTGCTGGTAATGGAAATAAAGGATGACATTTACCTGAAAATGACCTTGACAGTGTGTGGGTCATATTGCCCACTAGGATGGGAGGGTGATGAAGAAGATGAACATTTTGGTCTTCATGACTAATTTGAAACAGTATTGAGACCCTAAATTTGAAATGTCTTGTGGACAGAATGCTGGGGCATTGGGTTTGTGGTGGGTGGGAGGGGCACACACTCAGAGGTTAAGGAATGGGATTGGGGTATGCTTACCTGGACTGCCTTTGCTACTTTTATCTTTGTCTTGAGGTTCTAGCAAGACTGACATCACCAGCAGGTCTTTTTTGGCATGTCTAGATTTTTCCCACCCACTGGATATTTGTGCGTCAAATTGTCACTAGATATATTTGTTTCTATTTTCTCAGTTGCTTCGTTCTGCTACTTCCTGACTTATTTTTAACCCCTCTGGGTTCTTTATTTTTGGCTCTGGTGCTCTGAATTCCTCCTGGTTAGTGTCACTAAGTTATGAGCTGTACAGGTAAACAAGCTGACCTGATGTGCTTGGAGTACCGAGTCATTCA